ATACAGTCGTTGAATGATTAAGTTTAAGTCTTTAAAAAATAATAAAATGCATTAGTCATTACATAAGTAGAAAAGATTTCAATACCTTATCCATCTAATCTCTTACTCTATGAAAAGGGAGTAGGGGAGAGACTGACTAAGAAATCAAATGATCAGGAAATGAGGTGCACTGTAATGTGGCTAAAACTCAAGTCAGGGAAAAACCACATTAACATAACAAGAACATGCAAACTCCACATCAAGCGAACAAAACAACTTGGCAACATTTTCAACAAATTTGAAAGTGCCTCAAGTGGCTACAGTAAGTACTAACATTGTTTTATTTTCAAACATTTAAAAAAACACCTTGTTATATGGTACACCACTCAGAAATTATCACTTTCTGTAAGTCATTAAATTACTTCATATAAATATATGTACTCCTTACAGATTAGGACACTTTTAAAGTTTATTAATAATTTTCTGTAAATGCTTGTACAGTATAGATCCAGTTTTCCAGGAAACTTACCAAATCTCATCTTTCACTAACAGTCGATCAAAGCAGTCAGTATAGGGTGAAATTAAGTAAACCAAATAAATTCCCTTTTCTAAAAATGGAGACACATGAGAACCTAGAGGGATGATTTCCAATTCAATCATTACAGTTCTACCACTAAAATGTCCACTACATTTGTATTATAGATGACAACTACTGCGTACTGACTCCAGGTGCTTACGTTAGTTTAAAGAGTATATTTTCCAATTCTGTTATACAAAAAAGAAGGAAAACTTCCCACAATTTTACTCCTGGGATACTTCAGATAAAATGCATACTTTCATTCAGTATGCCTCTCTAGATCTTTGTAGACCTAGGACGTATGTCATAAAAAGCATATTATTTCAACTTAATTAAAAATGTCACTGAAAAAGTACTCCCAACATAAAATGTACTTCCTAAGCCTAAGGCAACCATGATACAAATACATGGTACTGTGCAAACTGAAAGGTAGACAATTTAGCATATTTTCCAATTTGTCTATATTTCTGTTTCTTATTTGCACATTTTAAATGCAGGTACTGTAAAAACTAAACAAAGACCTGACATGTTTCTGTTTCATGTGGACTCTGATCATGTTCATATCACCTTAATCACTTTGGAAATTAAATGAGATGATTGAATTCTAGTTCTGTAACATCTGCATCAGGCCCGTGGACAGGACTGCCTCCTTCTTTCCAAACACCCTCTAATTCTCAAATGTGAACTATAAAGAAGCTGCCAATTTCACCAAATCCACTCAGTGTACAAGTAGCACCATGCTGCAGCAATTGGCAGACATTATAATAGTTAATATAGAAGTGTCTTACTTATTTAACATCCAGTGTAGAGGTTTCTTTTAATAACTGCCAAGAGATAAGACTAGACAAATGCAGAGAAGTTGACTAGATTATCAGTTTTCCTCCATCTTGAGTTCTAGAAAGTTCAGTTCTGAGACTGGTGATTGCCTTCACACAATTGGAAGTCAAAAACAGAACTTTACTGTATCAAACCAACAACTATTTTTTTAATCATAGAATCATTTTAACAAAAAAAAGCAAAACTTTGAAAAAAGGAGCCTTCTGTTCAGACTAAATAAAACAACTAATTTTCTCTATCAATATATGAGACACCATACATGCCCTTTCTATCTGTGTAGCTTTCCTAGAATAAGAGAACAAGAGGACAAAATGAGTTCCCATTTCAGCTTTTGAGTCTATACCCACAGTTTAGGCTTGCCAGTATACTGCTAACCCAGGGATGAGACTAGAGAAGAACAAATGGTCATCCACACCTTCCAATTCTTGTGTCTTGTCTTTTCTGGAGTCTATATTATACTATATATAAAGTTCAGAAAAGGAGGAATTCATTACAATAAATGTTAGACCTCATGAGAGTTTTCTTCAGCTGGCCATTGAAAGTGAGATCAAATCAAGTAAAAGGTTATGACAAGAAAAATAAAAATCATTCTTGCTTTGCTATTCTGGCATGAAATGAGATTTACAATGGAGCCCCAGAGGTTACTGTGGTCCTAAAGACCTGTGGACCTGATAGAAATGAAGGAGGTAAATGAAATAAAATTAAATGTGGGAAATAATGTGTTTCTGCCAACTGTTAGAGACATACCGTACTACTCTGAAGAAACTTGTTCAGTAAATCTCTAGGTTCATGGAGAATGGAAATTGGAGAAACTGGTGGACAATTCTGATGCTATAACTTCAAACAAAAGTGAGTTCTTCAGTACATTATTACTAATATAAGAGATACAGGGTAATATTTTTCTTCTATTTGTAGTAAAGATGCCTTTGGCGCACACAGGAATGATTATTTTCTTTCATATGGGATTTAACAATCATAAAACAGTTTTTTATGTTCACCTTTAATAAAGCATCAAGGTTCTCATGCTTAAATCAGTTTTATAAAGGAACTCCATTCATATCATAATTAGATACTATGATGGACACATAAGAGAAGCCAACTCACAGCCTTGCGAAAAGCAACTACTATATATCTCAGCTGATATTGTTTTCCTGTACTTTTAGTAACATTGGCAGCATTAACACAAATTTTGCTGTTTTTTTATTGCAAGGAGTATTTAAACTTATTTAAGTGGCCTCAGATAATTAACCATTAGGTCTGAAGTCTAAGTAGAACCCCTGGATAAATCATCTGTTTTTTTTTTTATTTTAACGATGAGAAACACTTAAAGATCTAATAAAATCTGCAAAAAAGGGGAGACCATTTGGTCCATCTAACTCATTTGGTTGCTAATTGCTAATTGAGGATCAATTAAGGAACTTTGGTCTCAAAGGGAACTTTGATCCTTAAGCACTGAAAGTGCTACTAAATTGTGTTCCAAATAATGTAAATGATTTTATTTAAAAAATAATCTGTTTAACCCATTACACCTAAACTGATCCAGGATTTTATAATTTGATGAGTTGATGGCTTCCTTTAAAACCAGCAGAACAGGGCCTCGCGAGGAACAGAGGAGACCTCTGATTCAGGCAGTCCAGGATTAGTAAAAATCTGAGTCTCTGTGGGACAACGTCCTTCCACACAGAAAAGAGCGAAGTCTTTGTTTATGAGACTACAAGCGCAAGCCTAATAACCCTTTTTGTCTTTGACTGCCTGATGCATTAAAAATTCCATGTCACTATTAAAAAGAGTAGGGGTTTCAGCTGCTGTGTCCTGGCTAAATTCCACCCTGGATTTAAAAAAATCTGCCAACCAAAATTACCCCCTTAATCCAATTTCTCAAATTTTCACCTGCAGTGCTGTCTAGTTAGGCTGCTGGTACACAATGCTCCACACACCACCCAGGTGGGGGCTAAATTGGGTCCCCTCCTTTATGTCAAATCACTGTGGTATCTATTGGCATGAAAAGCACTACATACACGCAATTATCAAGGCAAAACAGTGACAATACTCAAAAATAATCACAGATTACAGTCTTTCAGAGAGGAGAATACCATTTCCCCTGTAATCAGTACAGAAGAAGAGTTAATTCACATCTCTGCTGCATACAGTACATTCAAGATGACACGAAAGGAAGCAAAAATAATTGCAACAATAAAACAAAGCTACCGCTCACTTACACATTTTGAATTTTAAAGAGCTCTCTGTCAGGAGGCATGTGCTACATTTGAAAAAAGAAATGTATTGTCAAGAAGAGCAGCTGAAAAGTGACAGGAAAGAAAGGCTGGCTGAACTGAAACAACAAAACACAAGATGCTTCCTAGAGTTGTGATTGAAGTTTCCGATTTCCTTAGGGGGTTTGACAAAAATATCACACGATGTGCAGAGTCCAGTTCCAGACGGCTCAAAAGGAAATCAAGCACAAATACATTATAGACAGAAGACATGGTTATGACTGTTCTTAAAAATAAAACAAGGTGTATGTCTGAAACTTAAAATGCCAAGCTTAGTTGTGTTTGAAGGCTCAAGAAAGTGTTTGAGGAAGCAGCTTGTTTAGGTGATGGTACAACTACTAATCACTAGACAGGAGAGGCTTAGCAGCAATGGTAACTTTGTTAAATTATTGCTTCAGGTTAATGTCACTTACACACTGTAGTCACTGCACACATTTGCAGTTTGTGCATGTGCACAGAATAATTATTTGTATTTTTCCTCAGATTGCTCTGTCCTTTCTAATGAGCTGTTCTGAAAAGGCCCCTCAAGGCTGATGTTTTGTATATGTGGTAGGCAATGAACTCAGTGTCTAACAACAGTTCAGAAGCCCACTGATGAAGTACGGTGTAATAAAGTTTGCACAATGAAGAATGCCCGTTTCTCTTTGTCACAGTTGCCCTCAAGAAACTTTGAATTTGTGTTAAAATAGTCAAAATCTAAAATCTAAACAGAAGCAAAAACTAAGCATTATTAACAATGTGCAACATAGCACCGTAAGTTAAAGAACAATACTTTACCAATAGGGGGTATTCAATCTGCACATCTTTCGGTTTATGTCTTTGGACAATTTTGTAGCAAACACATGCTTAATCATTCAACTGATAACAGAATAAGAAAAAACGCAGATGGTCTGCTGCATTAAGGTACTTTATTTCGGTAGGTTAAGAGATGCTCATCTTGATGAGCCCAGCTTTAGATTCCTTCACTGAAAACCCATTCAGGTCCTTTAGGTGACGTTTGTGGGTTTTTTTTCCTTCTTTTTGATTTTGTTTAACACAAGTATAGCCAAGACTACAATTTGTGTATAGGCTAAATTAAAGCTATTAATATTCCTAATGAGAAAACAACCCAGAACAGTTGTCAACTGTCATTAATATCAGTAAGAGTGTCAAAATGTGAGCTACTAGATGTTCCACTGTGATCGTTTAAGATGTGTTCTTATTTAAAATAAGGCGGGGGTGGTGATCTTAGCCTGCTGTTAATGATATGAGATGGTCAATGAATATTGCCCAAAGTGTTTCATGCAGGGCTGCTTTCACCTCTCCACTCAAGGTGTGGAAACAGACGGTCCTACCTCGGGAGTGACTCCGTCGTCTCCTCCGGCCCGTGGATGAGCTGCGGGTCACCTGCTGCAGGTGGGCGATCTCGATGGGGGTGTTTGTGCGAAAACTCTCCTTAAACTTCTGCATCAGGGACTCCACCGTTTCTTGTTTGGGGTCAAAGGCTACAATATGTCAATGTTTGCACGTTAAAAAAAGATTGCCGGCAAATGGAGGAGTTCTACATGTCAATAAAAACACATATAGCTCCTGTAATACCAGAAAAAAGCAGTTTTAACATTTTAAAAACAAGATTTAAATAGGGTGCAGGACAGCCTGTTCTATATCATCTAGTCTAGACAGAGCCCTGCAGGGTTAGTCTGTTGATGTATACAGTATGTGGTTAGCCTTTATTGTCATGCATCTATCTTTCCCCTTTAATGAGATTCTTTTAAAGCATAACTCAAAAATATTCATTTATTTGCAATTATTTAAATTAATAATACATTGGTACCAGACTAGATGTAGACATAAATATGAATGGAGAGACCTGCCTTTGATTTAAATGACAGAATACAATTCATCCTCTACTAGACTAGAATTAAGAGCAATTTACAGCACAGATATTTTTTGGAATAGTGATTATTATATTACAATGGAAATGAATATCTAAAAACAAATGATACACTACATTTTTACACACCGTTGCTTAATCAGGGAGCTGACTAAAATGGGTTGAAGGCACAAGGAGAGTGCCCACATACCCCTCCCATCCTCCCCTCTTTTTCCTAAGGAACCTCATCGGTAGAAGCTGCCAAGATTTCGAGCTCTAAAGGGCTCAACTAAGTCCTGGTGACTTCCAGTAGGCTCTGCCAGATGCCTGCTCAGTAGGGCATCTTGTAGGAGCATGGTGAATTTACCACACACCAGCTTCCCTCACGGACTGCTGGGATGCATAGCTGAATCTTTCTCACTCTCTGTGGGGTCACTAGCCCAAATCTGCCGTTCAGAAGGAAAGGTCTCACAAAAACCAAAGATTTTAATTAAAAAAATATATTTTTTTCTAAAGTTGTTCTGGCAGTCAAAGCAAACAGGAACCTGGCAGTCAAAGCAAACAGGAAGCAAGCAATTCATTGCCAGTGACATTTTAATTTAGTGCACTGTTGGGGTGAATGTATAGTAATAATAATTTAATCCATTATCGGTTGTGGAGTCGGTGACTATGGGGTGTAGGCTTTAAAATAGGGCACCAGTTGCATATCCCATCTGATGGGCAGTGGAGTTGATAAGCAGGTTGAGTTACCTGTTCCAGTTATCACACTGAGGATACAGCCTTGAACTAGGACCATCCAGATAAGAAGTCACATTATCTAACCAATGAACCATTTAACAACTCTTTGAGCTGGTCGTTGGCAGCACTACATTTGCTTCAGTGTCGCTCATTTCTCCACTCTAACTACAATCCTGTCAGCCACCACTGTGTGTGTAAACAACACCACGTTAGCTGCCCGGTCTGCAACACGCACACGCACTCGCGCAGTATTTTGTGCGCATGCGCATATCACGTGCAAAGCATAAACATATGTATCGAACATTTATCGAACTTTTGTTAAAATTATTTCGAGGAAAATTATATCGCGAAAATTATCGTTATTGAATTATCGCCCATCACTAACAGTATGTGAAAGAATTTCCATTTGACTACAATTACTTTCTTGAATACAGATGCTGCAATATGCTAAACTATTTGTGCAAAATGCATTAATCTGTACATCAACGTATTTTACACTGGTGCTTATGTAACATTGAAACACTCCTCATACTTGTACAAGTATATATAGAATATACAAACAATGCAACACTCAAAAAGAATTGCAGTACATCGAACATACATAACCTCTTGAAATGACAAAAGGATTAGAAAATCACAGGGCACCTGAGAAAAAAAAGCATTACCAAAATGAAAAAGTATATCAACAAAAAGGAACATTTTTATAGTGAAAAAACGTTCAGAATTACATCTGCTCATGGAGCAGTCAAGCAATTGAATGAACTACTAACCATCTGACAGGCAAGCAGTTAGAAACAAATACGACCTCAAAGTGTTTTATAAATGACAAAAACCTGCACCCATTATACTTGTCTTTTATTTCTTTTTGATAGAAAATAACCATCCTTGAGAAAAATCTCATGACCGATCTCGCCATTACATGCATCATTTAAAATGAAAAAGGATGCATTGACTTGTTCTTTTCATTTTCTCCCCTAAACAATATAACTAGATTTTATATTATAATACAGAACAGTCACATAAAAACAGGCACAAATTATTCCTCCCTTGATTCCATCATCAATTGGTATTATTTTCCTTTTTGGTCTCAATGTATCATGAGTTCCATTAAAGTAATAAATGTATACTTCAGCTCTCAAAAGAGCAATAACACATTTCAAAAGATCTATTTATTCCCACTGCAAGACTAACTAATACTAGAAACTCACTACATTTTATTAATGTAGAACTGGTATCTGGTCTTCTACTACTGTAAGCTATTAATGTTTTCTTTTTCTCAGAAGGAGACAATTTATAGAGACTTGTGTAATTGTATCAAGTCTTGTTTTTATCAAAATACATTCTTAATTCACTAGCAAATTTACAGGTGGTGTGGAGGAATAAATACCTTCATTCCTGATATCCACACTTGTCAATGAACAAAACCAATTTAACTTCTTTTCATGTCCTTAATACCGATCAATTTTCAAGTTCAAAATGCAGAGAGGACAAAATGGATGTTCCATCTTAAAGAAATGGCTGTTGTCAGTGTTTCTCGTATTTCTCACAATTATTAAGATATAAAATAAAAGTGCTCACAGTGGCATTTGAAAGTATGGGCGACACATCCTCAGTACAAATCCAAGTTATAGCAAAATCAGTAAAAATGTAAGGCCCCCCCAAACTTGTTTACCCTATTTACCTTAACCATGAAAGTGAAAAGCAAAACAAAATGAAAAATAAAACTGGTGTGTGACTTTCCTGTCTCACACACAACTAATGCAATGTCAAATAACAGGTCCCCTTCTTGCTGAAAACTATAAAACATGCTACTTAAATTGAAGGAAGAGTACAAGTTGTTTTTTATGAATGGACATATATATATATAAGATAAGAAGAGAAGAAGAGGTTTTGACTTCACACCTTTCTTCACCCTTCAGCACTTCGCACTTCATGAGTGGCCTCTCTGTCCCTCCTGCCTCCTCCCCTCTCCCAGTTTCTGTTCTTCTGTGCTATTTAATCTTTGCTGTCTCCCCTGTCTTAATCACAACTGAAGAAGGCTTCACAGCCAAAACGTTGTGTTTTCTCTCTTCTCTTTTCAGCATAGAATAAACCTATTACTTGTTGCTTTGCAGACTAGGAATGCTGATGCAGCTACACACCTGAACTACTAAGAAGAGAATATATGACCTATTGGTGGTTATTGACCTGGAAATTTTTATGAGGGTCCCTATAATTCGCTCCAAAGATGTGACTGGGCAGCTTGTTCTGAGCACCTACAATATTTGTACAAAGACATATTTCCTGCTGATATTCTGAAAATGCATCTCATCAAAGTGTTCATATTGTCTATGTCCTCAGATCCTTGTTCCATTCATTGCTGAGCTTGAAGTACTGTACAGTATTATTTTAAGTCGACTCTATCATACATAATACTGAATTCTTTTTATCGATCATTCTCATAGCTCCCTCAACTAAAGAAAACATTCTCCACCCCCAACATGTCTGCACGTCATTCTGTTGCAACTTGCAGTTATTTGTGTTGCTCTTCTCTGAACACGTTCAATTAAGGTATAGTACATTTTTCATGGTGGAAAGCATTGTATGAGTATGTGCACTTGTGTCTTGGCAACCAAGGAAAGCTAAAGGATCGTAGCATCCTCTTGACAGCAGCTAGCGGACAGCGCACTTCTCCATATAGCTGGCAGGCCAGCTGGCTAATGTAATTGAACTGACGTCAGTTGCAAAGACTCCCCACGCACACATAGAATTCACCTATCCTGTAAGTGCTTGAGCCCAGATTTCCAGATGATTGACAAAAGAAAACAGGAGCAGTTTATGTGCATTCATTTAGTCTTTGAATGCCTAAGTTGAAGTAGGTAACTGGCTGTTCATTGGCACCACAAATTCAACATCCTTTTTCCCCAAGCAATAAGAACAAAGCCAAGGTTGGATTGTGTAGCAGCAGGTTAAAGCCCCTGTGTAGTGTGCTGTTTGCTTAGTGGTACCACAGTGGAAGGGTAAGTCTCTCACTGGCTCTGAGCCAAGCCTCTGAACTGAGCTCTGAGAGTGTTACAGGCCTCTTCTGCAGTGTCCTGATTGTGCCTGCAGTTGCTCTAACAAGCTAAGCTTCTGCAGATGATCCTTTAGATCCTGGGCATCATGTAAAATGCTCACCACACATTTTAATTTTAAAGAACTGGATTCATTTTCTACATCTTCTACTTCAGAGACCAGCGTTAAGTTAGTGGACAAAAGCAAAGATAGCCATGAGTCAAAACAGGATTTACTTTAAAAAACAGATTTTGTGAATAGCAATTGTAGACGAAGGACAAAATGTAAAACAGGACATGTTGTGACACCCTGCTGAAATAGGTAGAAAATCCAGCTCAACTCAGAATGACTAAAGGGGCAAGTCCTCCATTTTACTACTTAACCTTTGAACCACAACAAACTACTGCATTTATTATTAGAGCACTTTGAAATGGCACATGCCTAATGTGCTGTAGAAATTAAAATAAATCTGCTTCTTCGGCACTTATTTGGCAGGTACCCTGTTTTCATGCCGAGGTTACCTATTTATGCCAGTAGCTGGAATTTGTTTCTCAGTGCAAACCAGTCCCCCCAAGATGATCTGAGTAATAATTTGATAGCTTTTAGGAAAATGGCTTGTATAAAAGTGAGATTTGTTTTTCAAAGACAGTGTAAAATATGTACTCCTCTGATTAATAACCATGCAAAATTCCCAGTCTGTCTTCTAAAGTCTAAAAACAATTTGTACTCATCTAATTCCCTTCCTACATCTTTTTAGGCTCTCTGGAATTTCAAAATGTCAGTTATTTTCACAACAGTGGAAGCAAAAGATTCAAAAAAAGATATTGATCCAGATATAAGCACTAACACTTAAAACTGTTA